TTATGGATGACTTCATTACCCATAATATTCCTGTATTGTCATAAAGTCTTTACAAGTTGTGTCTGTAGGAACTGGTTTATATTTTGGCATTTGTTTATATGTTCCATTCGATATATGACAAATCTTTTGAAGGGACATAGTACATAGTTTATACAAGCTACAGTTATTTACTCTATATCTACTTATAAAGTCCCAACCAAATTTTCTAACAGTAGCCTTACCCAACTTTTTCCAAAAACTTATCATTGTCCAACAACTGTGCCCTTTTCCTGATGTGTGTATCCATTATACGAACAGACCCAGCCTTGTTAAAAAAGCAAAAGACACAATATTAGAGTAAAAAGCTTAAATCCTCAGGAATATACACTATTAAAAAAGGTACTAATATTGTCAGCAATTTATACGATAATTACATTGCATGTGGGACAACAGCAAATCAAAAAACAGCTGCAAGAAGTTACAATTATCCATCTATAGAAAAGGCATTTAGGAACTATTCTGCAAGAGCTGTTTGTTAAGGGATTTTATGCAGTTAATTATATGTATGCACAGCTGCTGGGAGACTAGCTACACAGCTCAACCAGAAAAAAAGATTAACCGAAGTAAAACCCAGAGCTCTCCGGGCGAGTGTGAGCCGCGGCGGGAGCGCGGGGCCAGGCAGCTGCGGACAGCCGGGCTGTGAGACGCGGGATGGAGGCGTGTAGGTGAGCTGCTTCTCCGATTTAGGCAACAAAACCAGAGCAAAACCGATCATAAAATCCTGCTTTTCACGTCGCTCCCCCGCCTCCCTCCGTCCCCAGCCACCCGTGCCCTCCCGCTCAGCAGCGGGTGCCGGAGCAGCCCTCTCCCCGCGCCCTCCCGTCCCCCGGGACGCTCCTCACCTCACGGGGGAAAGGCCCCTCAGCTCCCCCGACGCCGCGCCGCCCCGTCCCCAGAGACTCACCGCACCGTGGGAAAGGCTCCCCCGTTCCCCGTCCTCCCTCCCCTCCCAGCCTGGGCACGTCCCGAAAGCCTGGGCTGCCACCGCGCCGGTGGCAGGGATCCCCCAAACCCCCTCAGCATCGTCAGGCCAAAACACTCGCCCGACCCTTCCCCCGTGCGGGCCGGGTGCCGGCGGCGCGGACAGGCCCGGTCGCAGCCCAGCCCCACGGTCGCTCGGAGCGGCGGCACAGGGATGCGGGGCCGGACCGGAGGGCGAAGGGAGGGGCCGGTTCCAGTGAGCGCAGCCGGAGCCAGTCGCTTTAGTAGACAATTTATTTTGATAAACTTGCTCAATAACAAAAATACAAGTGAAGAAAATTATGTTCATTTTATACAGTTTGTATTAACATTTGTTCGGAAATCATTAATTGAAAAATCTTCTAACCAATTAGAAAACAATCCTCAGTAAAGGCCGGGGCGGGGGACGCAGACGGTCAGGCCTGGAGCGGGGAGCGACGCGACGCCCAGGCAGGACGACCCGCCTGCAGACACCATTTCCTTCATTATTTTCATCCTTCACAAAGGTTTTAAAGGACAGCTTTCTCTTTTTTTTATTTTTTTTTTGTGTGTGTGTTGGGGCAAACGGTAATCTACAGTTGTGTTCTGAAGTGGTTAAACAACGGCTCTGAAACACAGGTATGACAGGAGGGCCCTAACCTGGCGGCTTTACTTCAGCCACAGGACGGGGCTCAGGTGGTGTTGCACGCTACCAGCGTCTTCGGGAAACTGGTATCACTCGCCAGCAAGATTAACAGCGGAAAACGATGTTAAACGGTTAAGACTGGTGAGTTCAGGCAAGCACAACCTCCCCAGGTCTGAGACAAACCGCTTCCAGGCGATTATTTCAGCTGAGCTCAACAATAAGATTTATACGGACAAATTCACTAGTTTTCCTTCTGAAGGTATTTTAAATTTCCAATCTTACATTTTGTTAGCCAAATAAATGACAAAGTGTGCACAAATTACATGATGATGGGACATCAAACCTTTTGGGGAATTTTGAAGCAAAAGACTAAGAGTCTCTAGTGATGCATGAAACGAGCTGTCCTTCAAAAAGTTAAAAATAATGGCTGGCAGAATCAGAAAGGTTTATGTAAACACTCAACACAAATATGGGATTACCTTTGGAGAAGATTCATACGGAAACATTTGCTTTTCATGAACTGAAAAGTCTACAGATGTTCAGGCATGTTCAATACGAACTTCCTGTAGTTCAAAACAAAACCTTGTGCAAATAAAACCTATAAATAGTCTTCAGCAGATTTTACAGTGATGCTCTTAGGTATGAAAAGAATGCACACAACTTTAAAACAAAAGTAACAGACATAAGTTTGACAAATGATTGCACCATAAAACAGTGTTTTATATACAGTTTACAAGATATGATTTTCTGCTATAAATTAATACTGTACTATATAGTACTTAGTGACCTTATTAAAAGCAACTGTTGACAGCTGTCTCTTCAATTACTGGGTGGTTTTTTTTTTTAAATGCAGAAGGCTGCATCTATTTCTGGACTTAAAATGCTCAAATATTTAATCAAACAACCTGCTAGTTAAATCTCTGCTCTAATTCAATAATTCATAGCAATAGCATTGGCAGATCAGAAGAATTTCCAGCCAGCCAGCCACAGTCTGGGTATGCTCCAAGATAAGTGTTTATATTTTTTTTATTAAATGATGATCCATTTAATCTAAGCCTAAATACACTGTATACATGATGTTACTATAATAGAAATAAGTAAGCTGGGGGGGGAGAAATCTTAGCAGCGGAGAAACTCTCCCCCCCAACCTGTGTTCCAGTTACAAAAATCTCCTAGAACTATTTACAAGAGTGAAATTTCTGAAAAAAAGGGTTTTTTTTCAACATAATTTATGATCTAAATTTTAGTGAATACTTCAGCTTAGGATACAGCAGTGATAACACCAAAAATTTAGACACACATCCAGCAGCTGAACCCTGCATTTTATTTCCACCAACATCACTGGGGACGTCAGACTACCCATGCAGATGATGGCTTAAATTAGGAACCAAATCATATTTAAACCATTACTTCCAAGTAGGTGCCTGGCTGTATTTACAGATTAATATACTTTAGAAACATTTAGTGTTCCATAAACACTCCCTTCTACCTGTGAGTGAGCTGACTGGAAAAAAGTCACTTATAGACCATTCCAGTGACAAGTTTGTTCAAAAACGTCAAAAGAGAAGAAATACTTAATTCAGCAAATAACTTTTTGTATTAAAATACCTTGGGAGGAGGAGGACAGGGACCCACTAGGGTCTGAATGGCACACAGTTTAAGAGAGTTGTGCAAATTGTCTTATTTTCAAACACTTAAGCTTATCTGATAAGTGATTATTTTGGAAACTGCGGATTATATTTTAACAACCACCTCATTCTAAAATATGCTTTCACTAACATTTTAGAAAAATGTCTTTTAGCAATGCCATTCTTCTAATAAGCTCAATGAAACAGCGCTTGAAACATACAATTTTTTTGTTTTCATAATGAATCTCAGGTAAACCACATATTAACTGGAAAATAAATACTGATAGTGCAGGCAGCCTTCCTGGGACACTAAACTGTACTTTCTGCAAGGTTAGATTGAGTAGTGAATTATGATGTCTATGGATTCAAAAGTTTATCCTTGTGTTGAAAAATAAAACTACCTTTAGTGAGGAATATTTACTCCAAATTTGGGTGGCCCGTAAATCCACATTTAAAATAACAACTTTAGTAAACAAGGCATATATTATTTAAACAATTATATTGCTTATTTTTTTTTTGTAAAAGGAATTAATACTCAAATGAAAATAAGTTCATCCATCTTTACAGTGGAATAGTGTTTGCATTACTTTAAACACTGCATTTTACATGTGCTAGAGAAATACTTATTTATGGTAAAATGCTGTGCTTGAACATGTATGAATGGTAACGTAACAATGCAGTAGAAAAAAGAGACTTTCTGTACAACAGTTGCTAATAATTTAAATAGTGTCAGTTTCCCAAAATTAGGATTTCAACTTTAAGGTATGACATGATCTCACCTTCTACCCTCATATACAAATAAATTACCATAAAAAGAATTTTAGCTTAACTTAAAATTGCACCTAGAAAGGCATGGGATCGTTTGTACCTATTACAAAAACTGTTAAAATCAAGGGCTGCTACAAAGAATGAGGTAAACTGAAGACTCTCAGCTATGTGGCCTTCAGAGAAATGGCTTTTTTCTATTGAGTTCTAGTTTTGCACACCACAGTGTTTTGCTAGCAAAGCGTTCTGAGTTCTTTTCCAGGAACCATTTGTGTGTATATACATATATATACATATGTGTATACACACACACACACACACACACACACTGTATACTGCATCAGCAAAATATATATATATTTATATATATATTTATATAAATAAAAGGAAGAAATCCCCCTCTAAAATGTTCCTTAGTGTTTTTCTAGAGCTTATGGGGGAGGAGGGGATGTATGTCTTCTTGGTGTTACATACATTTAGAGAACATGTTTTGATCTATTGGCTTCTTGGTGCAGTAATGCAAGATTGATCCACATTGGTGCCAAAGGCTTTGCTCATCAGAAAGAAGATGTAAAACACTAATCTCCTAAACAGCGAGGCCAGCCTCACTTGAATTCCTCTGCAACCCTCTGGTCTACCACAAAGTTCATAAATACTTTGACTTCCAAATCGTTCGACGTTAAAAACAGGAACAGTACAGTAACATGGGGCATTATGCTTCTCAGTGTAAAGCATTCTTCACTAGTTCCTATCACAGTGCAGACCTGACTGCATTAAAATATGCTCAGGAGATTAGTCAACGTTGTCTGTATTTGGTTATGGGAAAGGCTCTCCTTTTTTTCATCCAAAGTGCATAGTGAGAACAAGTCAAAGCATTCCTCTTTTCAGTAAGTGTTTGATAGTCTGATCTAGGCATCCTCCTGAGAATGCAATTCCGATATCTTGCTCTTTTCCAAAATAAAGTCCTGCAGGTCAGACATTCATCAGCCAGGTAAACAAACTTTGCCAGCAAACAGAAGTCCCACTATTGTAAAGAAAATGGATAAGACAAACAGTACATATGAAGACCCAACCACTGTGTTATTGGGTAGTTTATATGGTTGACCTCCAACTTCATTGATGTAAAATCCTATTGGAAATATTAGGGCTGCCATACAGAATAGAATCACTGCAAAGAAAAGAGAAAAGAAAAAATGGTCACTGCTGTGTTAAAGTCAAAATATTTACCCGTTCATAGAGCAGTCCAGAAAAGCAAGCAAAATATTCTGAACCAAACTGCAGAGCTGAGATATTCCAGTACCTAACTTGCTTGAAATGACTGAGTAGGCTTTATCTTGCTTTATAACATCCCTCATCTGCTCCCAAGCAAGACTAAAAGACCCCAATTTTGACTGTAATTTCAGTCCTGCTCACTAGATCATGAACTGTCTTTACAGAATAAAAATTTGGTGGATGTACTACTACCACCACCCACAAGTTTAGTCACAGAGTTCATTACTTCTTCAGTTATTTTAGAGTCATTTTTCCCCAAAGTCAAGATAAACTAACACGCAACATTGAAGAAACTCCTATTATCAGCTGTCTTTTTCCAACTGTAGTTGCCCTCTCCCATTCTTCCACACAAATTTCTTTTCTGTAAAAGTTTTGCTAAAAATAGAAAGCACACAGATTGTCATTACAGTTTCTTTTAGATTAAAAGATACCAGTTTCCTGAAGTTATAGGAATGTTTCCTTAAATAATGAAATACCCTTAAGATTTCCCATTGGAATACAAATAAAGTTTTCTGATTCAGTTTAAGCTTCTTAGTGAAAAACTTCAAATTCAGACTCCATGAACAACGAGAACCAAGCAATGAGGCGCTTTATTTCACCCGACCAGTTAGACGTATGTACATGGTTTGTGCTTACAACTGACTCCGTGTGGATGGATGTACAAAAAGGAAACCAGAACCCCTATTAAAGCCATTCATTAGAATTACATTATGGATTTCACAGGCCTTCAGGAATCAACAGTGGCCAACATTCCTCACAGCACATTTCAGTACTCTGATCAAATCCAGGAGAGAACATCCAGTGTTGTAATCTTTGGCAGATGACAACTTCAGTGTTCCTGTAACATACACCTTTGATAAGTAACCCTGTTTAGTTTGAACATAGCAATAGGCAGGGCTCTACTGTCCTGACCAAGGGAATGACTTCCAAAAGTCATTTTGGAGAAGTCATTCACAATAAAAAGGATTAGCTTTTGAATTGGTTTGATTGCATATGCTAGTACATACAATCGGGTTTTTTTATCAGTATTAGACTAACACAGAATTTCATCTGATTCTACCAGTTCAGTCAACTCTTAGTGCTTTACTTTTACTTCACTTCTATGTATTTCAGCTTTGTTTCAAACATTATTTATTGTGAGTGGAACACGGCATCCCAATACCCTTTATTCAACCAAAACTAAATTATATCTGGGGGGAGAGAGGGGCTGAGCCCCTCTGTTCTCCCACCAACCCTGCAAATCCTAACATGATGCACAGCTAACACTGAAGCCTCTCCTAGTCCTCAAAGTCTTCCTATAAACCTAGCCACATGAAAAAGAAAATTCAACCCAAGTTACAATGCTCCTGTCTGAATAAAGTGCATTCCATGCTAATTTTTTCAGTCTTCTCTCAATTAACACAGACTGCTGCTTTTTGTTTGCTAGTAGGGGACACAGGTGCTGTCCTTCTCTCCCCTTTCTCTTCTCCACCACTAAGAGACAGAACAAAGTCTGGGGACGCTGTTCCCTACTTGTCAAATGAGCAACAGTAAAAACCACTGGCAACAGTAATAGCCATCACCTTAATCACTGGTTCCTGTACAAGTCAGCAGTGCTGCAGCTGCTTTTGTTTCCAAAGGTAGGTAAAACAAATTCGGGAGCTCGCCTGTCCTCTTTGGCCTTACCAGGACAAAGCCTCCAGTCTTTCCAAATGAGGAAACGATGGGCTGGAGCAGCCTCAGTATTTTTTTAACGTAACTTCACTACTGCTCTTTCTGACTAAATACACATGCTCCCGTTTATCCAGCTACAGTGTTACGTGCCCATACTAAAAACGTTTTTTAACGGACTCCATGTTTATCCAAGACGAATAGTTTATCACATATTTTATATCTTAATGCTCAAAGCTTATGACTTGCATAGTACAGGTCTCAGCTTTGAGGAAAAAAACACTCATGTTCTATAGAAGAGACTAGATACAGGCATGATGAATCTGAATTCCAAACGTGTCCAAGTAGGACTTGGGCATAAACAAAAAAGGACAGTTTCATAAACCATGATCCACATCAGAACATCAGCTGCTCCTTGCTTGCCGAAACGCATGAAGCGGCTTTCACACCTTGAGTCAAGAGCAGCTACCACCAGGATCAGCCTTTCTTTCAGCGGACAATACCATGCAGCAAAAAAATCAAATGTTCCACTGGAGGGAGCTCGCATCTCACTTGTAATGGAACAGCACCGGCAGATTATTTTTTAAAGGGGAAGAAAAAGCACGAACAAAAAACATCTGGCAACTGCATAGTTACTACAATTCTTGCTCAGTGCTACCTCGTTAGGCCATCTATTAAAACAAAACCAAAAAAACCAGCAACCAGATGTTAAACATTAAATAAGCTAGAAAGTTTTAATCTGCATGATTATTGGTCCATGTAATTCCACACTACACCATCTAATCCTTAAAGAATGTTTCCCTTTTTTTAATTGTATCTTAACCAACAGCTGGCCCATCTGAGGAGAGAAAGCTTGGGTATGTGTTTCTTGAGCAGATCTGTCTAAGTATAGAAGAGCTCTGTACTTGAGTGGTCCAGAAAACAGCGGTTGATGTGCGATTAGTAACGCAACATACAATTAGTAACAGTTTGAACAATGTTCTGAGGCCGAGTCACATTATCGTAACTCGGCACGCTTCCTATTACATCCAGTTTGTCCCTGATGAGCATTCCAGTTATTTACAAAACTTCTGTTGTATTTTAACAATAACACACTTATAGGAAATAGCTTTAGGATTCTGAAAACAGCCTGCACTTTCAAGATTACATCTCCCTTATTACATTCAAGAACTACACAGCTGGAAAAGTTCTGATGGCCTCATGGGTATGGTTGAAGAATAGATCTTTATCTCTCTCCACTAAACCACTGTTCTTTGAGGTGTGCTGTACATACATGCACCAGTGCTCCCAGGTCTGAGACCTGCTAGCGGCACTGTACCGCCGAGTGGAGCGTGTGCCCGGTGTCTCCTTGTGTTGCTGCCCGAGGACAGAAGGGTGCAGGTACCTCAACCCTCCCTCAGCTCACAGCAGGAGAAAAAATAAATTCTGCACGTGCAGGCAGGAGAAAAAATAAATTCTGCATGTGCAGGCAGGAGAAAAAATAAATTCTGCACGTGCAGGCAGCGTGGAGAGCGCTGATGTGCATACACATTTCAAGCATTTACTATAGAAGTAACCAGCCACCTTTTCTCTTCCGCTGTGCATACACACAGCGCACGTGTTCTGCTGTCAGGGTGTCCAAGCAATTTTCTTAGTGTGGTCTGGATTTTTAGTCTACTGAAATTGCAAATAAAAAACGGATTCATCAAAGTTTCTGTCAGATTAGGAAGCCTGGCAAAGGAATTATGGCAAAGTTTTGAGAAGTCATTAAGAAAAGACTGCATGATAAATTTATTTTTAAAAAAAGAAGAAACTAAGGAGAAAATCCAATATATGAAGAGCTCAGCTAAGTTAGTGTGTATTCTTTTAGAAGGAGATTTGTAAGCTAGAGGATAGGAATTTCTTATACAAGCTGTAGCCCAAATGTAACTCTCCATATCTGGTAGGAACAGCTCTGCGAATTTCCAGAAACATGTCCAGCAACCCATAAAGAACTTCTCCCTCACGAGTACTTGGTTTTGATTTCAAATTCTTCCTTGGGTAGGAAAATTTGCAGAAAAGACACTTAATGACTAACATTTCTATTAAAAAAAATATTTAGGTAACAAAACACAATAATTTCTAGTCTGCTTCTGAATGGTGGCTGTCAAAAAAAGATGTAGTTCCTGTAATTCTTTAGCTTGAAATTCTTACGAGCATCCAATGACAACTTCAAAAAATCCAGGATACAGCATATTAAAAGATGGAAAAAGCCATGGTCTAGTCTTTCGAGGGCTCACTGTAGTACCTGCTTGTCTCTCTAGAGATGCATAACATAGAAAGCAGCACCTGGTGCAAATCTTTAATAACTCAAGAAGCACTTTATTCACGGGGGAACGCCAGGGACAGATGTTTGCAGGATAGCTACTGTTAGTTAAGATTATCCTGCCCCACTTTTACTTGCATTCCAAAAAGCAAGTCCATTATACTCATGAACATTTAAATCCTCGGGCAAAAAGAATAACAGACTCTCTGGTAACTGCTGGAAAAAAGGTAGAAATATGATTTTTCTGTCCAGCGTCTCCTCCCTTGATACATCTCAGAGAAGCACCCCATTCAGTGGTAGCAGACACAGAATTAATTCCCTTTCTAGTTGTAGCTGATGGTAAGACACCTGAATCCGTGCAAGATGTAAACAGATCTTGTGGGAGCTCTGTGAATTCCTGCAATAGCCAAAATTGTTATAATATACATAAGAACACCTAGGTGGCCTCCGCAGAGAATAAGCTCTGGACATTGTTTCTAATTATGGAACCTAACAGTATCTGTCCCAAGGACCATGGAAATTACAACGTTTGAGATTTACCATAGGTTCACCACATCCTATCTTCTAAACCAGAAGATGGCATAACGAGCACCCTGAAAAGGCAAGGGTTTTACATAAATTTGAAGTAGGGCAAGCAACAAAGGAGCAGTTTCAGAGATACATAGAACAATACCAAAGCCAGGTTACTTTTTTGCTACCAACTTAGGCCACTATGTCACAGGGCATAATTAGTGATGAAGTGGTATAGAAGCTGGGGTGGCAATAGGCAGTTAGCTCACACTTGAGCAACTGGTAAGTAATACCATGCACAGGAATAGCTGATCAGATCTTTGGCTGCTATCAACACACGAGGCACAGCTGTGAGTTTGCAATACCTCGGTCACTGAAGAAGCACACAAAGACCTGGGCAGTGCACAAACACACACCAAGGAGGCTTCCACTCTCCATTACATTGTATGAATTTGGTACTACAGTTAACATCAGTGACAGTTTTCATAGTATCTATGCCCAAGGTGACAATACCTATCACATCAGTAGGAATACTGTGATTCTTGAAAGACTCTTCTCTACAGAAAGCAAAGGAAAACTTTCACATTTGCCTTTAGAAGACTTTTGTCACTCATGCGGTATGACCTGAAGGAGGGAAATCTCTCTCCTCTCCACGAAGCTGTTCTGCAGAGAAGCCAGAAAGACAAGTTTCTGTGCAGTAAAACCACCAATAGCTGGGGAAGGATGCAAACGCTGCACTAGTAAATACTCTCTTGGGTGTATCCCTTTAGAAGTGTATACAGGAAAGAGAATTGGCAGGTCAAACTTTTGTCCTTTGTATGTCCCATAGCTAAACAAGGTAAGACCACTCTCAGCAATAATTCATAGGTACATGGTTGAAAAAATCTGAGGTCATCCAAGATGACAAGATTACCAGCAAAAATTCCATGAAAAATATAAGCTATATAGTTATATATAAATTCCAGCATGAACTGGGCAAGAGTGACCTCTTACCAGGTTCTCCTTGCTGCTGTTGGAGTTGGAAGGAAAGGGCTGAGCAAGAGGATTCTTTTGCCTTTAGATGATTTACGCTAGACCCCCTTGCATTTAAAGAGAAGGGAGCTGCCACTCCCAGAGCTGCCCTTGGCAGTCCCAGCTGACTTCCCTGCCTGCCCAGGATAGCATGCCCTATGTTCTGTGCAGAACGTTCTGTGAGAAGAATATCTGCTAGCAGCCTGTACTAGGCTGTTGAGTCTTCAAATTGCTTGCCGAAGAGATTTAATACAACTATGAAGTTTTTCCTACCCCCTTCTAATGAGTTACACATGTTTTCATCTTACAGCACTGGCACTTCACACGAAGGACCTGTTCATGGTATTCCAAGTTGATTCCACATGGTTACATGTTTCCTAATACTAATCTACAAACAGGTTACTAACTTGCGTTGCCATCCAACGAACCACAGAAGTCACTCTCACCAACTTTTTGAAAAATACAGAACTCTTCCTCCCATTCACTTATTTTTTTCCAAAATGATTTTTCTTACAAGCGAGTTAAGCAATAAAATTTCCCATCATCATTGTTAACAGGAATGCAAAGGTCGCCGAGTCGTATGTATTGGAGATTAATACCAAAGACGTTGAATTTTAGAATTTCGGCAATGCAGCGATCATATCTTAATAGAATTATGAATAATTCGGACTTGCAAAAGAACAAATTAGTATGTTTCATTATTAAACATCTCATAACAAAAAGGCAAGTGCTGAAATAAAAGAATGTCCTTCTATATTTAGACTTCTAATAATGGACCTGTTGCGAGCCTAAGGAAATCTACAGCAAAAAAACCAGATTGAGGGTATCAGATTTTTTGGCTGAACTACCCATCACAGTTGTAAAAAACTAAAGACGCAGGGATGTGACAACCGGAGACACTTAAAAAACCCATTAAAATATGTAAAGCCCAAAATACAGGCTCTGAATTAAGAAAAAACCCTCAGTAAATAAATTGTGGTATCAACTATTAATATATAGTACTCCAAAAGCCCTCTTTACCCTAGAGCTTTGACTTCAGCTTATTGTAAGCATCTTAATTTTATATCACATTTTGAGTTTAAACCCCTCCTGCATACATTAGATATACATGAAATATGTATAGATAAACAAGGGCAGTGGAAAAGTTGGGATGGAATATTCAGTAATACTCATATCCGCTATTTTAATCATTCACCAGAGAAGAAATAAAAGTCAATCACAACAGATACAGCATTTCAATAGCTCCATTGTCTGCAAGAGCTGCACTATTAATTTAATATGCTGTGTAGCAAAGTTGTCAGGATGGCTTTAATTGTACAAGTGCCTCAGTGAAGTACCTTTGTTGAAGCTGAGCACTTTTTTATATTATTCCCTTCACCAAAACAAGGTTAAATTTCATGCACATTAGATATCACTAGATGTCACAGAGTTCCATTAAACCTTATTTATGCCTGTGTAAACCACAAACTTGCGTTTTCTAGTTAGTGTTCACACTACCTTTAGTGGTATGTCATAATTCAAGTCAATTTAAAAGCCCTCAGGTTTTGAGTTTTTTCATGCTGTCATCCCCACCATTAAGGCACCATTTCACAGTTGGGCTAAGCCTGTAACACACACCAAGAAAAGGAAGTTTGAAAGTTATTCCCCTTACTCATTATGACTGTTTTTCTTTTGCACCAAAGTAGCCATAGGATATGTTTCCCTGTGCAGAAACACAGGGCTGCTAGAGAAGGCTCAGCTGTGAGGAGTTATGTTAGTGCTCATACAGAGCAGAATCGAGGGAGGCAGAAAAACCCTGGTACTCCTCCCTCCAGCTAAAGCACTGCTGCGGGTCACTTATGGAAGCAAAACTCTCAATGCTGTGAAGCACAGCAGATGCTCTGCAGTGGGCAATCCTCCTGCATAGCCAATTAGGATGCAGATATTTTGAATAAAACACCCGCTGCGAGCATGAAGCAGGACTGAACCAGCATCAACCCTGAATGAGGTATTCATGACACCTGAAGTAGGGATGGATTTCAGACTGTAGTAAGTCTCAGATGTATCAACTGCCTCCTCTTCCTCGGGGAGGGAATTTTCAGTCATTCCATTCTGCTAGGAATAAGTCCTGGATATATGTGATGGGGAAGCATGAAAGACTATCAATCAGACACACAATTCAGGACTGACCTCTTCTATCCCTGCTCATTTTCTTAGGTCAATTAATGGCACTACCCAAGGAAAGGTAAAGGGGTCAGGCCTTCCCTTCTCTCACCTTGGGCCCACAGACTATGATTCCCTCTCAATTATAGTCACTTAAGATACCAACCCCTTGATTTTTGAAGAATTTTATTTTTTCCCTCAGACGTGGTATTTAAAGAGAAGGAATGTTTTGTATAGTAAGAGCCCTAAGCGCTGCTCCTTGAAAACACTATAGTGTTATTTTAGACTCTACCAGTTTATCCTGCATACAGGTCAACTGTGTAGTTGAGGTCACTTACTTCCAGTGAAAGCTATCCAGCGGGCATATTTAGTAGCTTCTCTTCGCCAGTGGGAAGCCACCAGCAAACCACATGTGACAGTTAGTGAAATGATTCCCATAATGATGAAAAATAACGTAGTGACCCACTCAGGAGGCAGCCGTGGAGGAATACAGGTCCTGTCACGTCCATGGATGGTTTGACACTGTCGCACAAGGCCAACTGTGAGAGCACCTGAAAATACATAGCAGAGAGGCAAGTAAACTTTCAAAATCCTCTCTGAGGGGCGCTCAGTTGCAAACCAAAGCTCAGAATTGTCCAAAAATAAGGGATTCTTTCTTTGATGAACCTTAATAAGCCCTTCAAACACAGAGGATAGGGGGGGCATGCTTTAAACATCTGTCTTCATGTTCTTTCATCATATGCTTGCACAAGTTGAAGTGAGATGGCTGCAAGCTGTATCTGGTTCTTGAGTGGCAATCAAGGTCTAATCAAAGGGATAAAGCACTCCTATAAAGCCTGCCAGTATCAGCTAAAGTGGTAGCTGAGTTGTATAGACGATCACTCCCTCATCTGTGCAAGATGAAATACTTTCATAATCTAACAAAATGAGCTGCAGCCCCCTAAAATGCCTTTATTTGTCTAAGGCCTTTTTCCCTCATCTGTAAATACAGCTTTAATCCTCAAAGTCTTGCAGCAGAAACTGCATTTGATTCACCAAGATTTTAAGAACATTTAAAAAAAAAAAAAACAACCACCCACACTTATTGACAATAACTCTTTAAGAGTCCCTCTATGCAAGAGGCTGGTCAATCCTTTTGACAGCTAACACCACACACACAAACTGGGCTATCTACACAAAAGATCTATCAAAAAGATTCTAGAAAAGGACAAGACTGGTACAGGAACCATGAAGTTTTACACAAAATGAGGTATTTTCTGTTAAACAAAAAAAAATCCGATTTAAAATGCAATTCAGTGCTTTTGAGACTCATAAAGAAGCTTTTAGTAAGCTTTAATAGTGAAGTTCTCTTTATTTGGAAAATTTTAACCCAAAATTAACATGCAAAATTAAAATCCATTTCTTTCAGTGTCTCTTAAACATTAAGTCCTATATTTCTCAATTTTGTCCCTTCCTCTGAACTGTTTTCCTAAATAATCACAATTGTCCTTTACCTAAATTAGGAGCAAAAACCAACAGTGGATAATATTAGAGTCAACAGCTTCCTCCACAAATTATTGTCTGTATTGTTATAGTTGACCTGTTTAAAATAAAAAGAGGGCAACTTAGAAACAATTTCAGTAAGACTTAGAAGCTTAAGTTTTGCATGTGTTTTGGAGGAAGAAACAACTGTCATACTTTTTAGCCTTTTTTTAAAAAAAAAAAAAAAAAGGCATGAAACAAAGAAGTAAGCCAATAATCAAAAGGGTAACCAGTCCTAGCATGCACCTCCTAGCACCCTGGAGCCGATTTCTACAAGTGTTCTGATCCTGCCAGCTTACACCTCAGCAATGAGCACCAGCAGAATCAGCTTCTGAGCTTAGAATCATTGGGTTAGGAGGCAGAATATCATGTTTTATTAGATGTAGCACTTTTGATACACTCCTAGAGGATGAGAAGAACCAAGAGCAAAAACATTACTCAATCTGTTCTGTTGAAGCATTCCTGTAACATTTATTTAGACTACAAGTTTTTAGCCCTATTCAAATACATCCTTTTAATTACATATTCATCAGCTGAAAGATTCAGAGATTAATTTTCAGCTAAAAGTTGAAGTAAAATCCTTTAAAAAAGTGTCAGTCACAAACCAACAAAATTGGCATTTTCTTCCCCAGATATACAGCAATCACACCATTGTCGTGCATCCGGATTACACAAAACTGAACCAGAACGACACAAGCAATCTTGCACAGCTCACATACTTGTACAGTACAGTTTTACATGAACTGCTTCTCAGTTGCTTTTTCATAGCCCGCAGTGTTTTCATTTTACATCAGCTGCTGGGGCAGAGGGGAGATGTGCATGTGTTCTTAAAAGTCAAGCTCCCTGAAACGCACACACGTTGCAGAACCTCATACAAAACACTAAGTAGTTTCCTGTAGTTTTTTTGCTGTCAACATCTACTTCTCCAAAGGCTGATTTTCTCAAAAAAAAAAAACCCCGCAACAAACCCACAACTGAAAATGAAAAGAAAGGAGAACAAAAATCTCCGAATTGCGAGTACGAGGGTAGCATTGCTTTTGAAGACACAAGGATAGTTGCAAGAAACTACTCAGAGCAGGGTTTCCTAAACATCACTTCTGGTGCCCAAGTGTGGGGTTCCACTATTTTTTTTTTTTTTAATCAGTTTTAAAGCATCAGCAATTACATTTCAGGATCTGCCATTTTGGAACAAAAATACTGAACTTTATGGTTAAGCTTTTGCTACCACATACTTAATATTTTCTCTTAACTCTGCTTCATGGATTACAAATTCGAAGTAGATATACTCCATATTCAAGGTTTTGAACCTTGAGCCTGCAGACTCTAGGGAGGCAAATGAAGGGTAAGAAAAGGTCTGTGAACTATTTCAAAAGGTTTCACGATGGTAACTGGGAGAAACAACCTCGTTATGTGCTCATAAATTTAGTTAAAGTTCAAGTTTAAGTTCACTATACAGGAATACCTCATTTGTGTACATAAACTGGGCAGAAGGAAATTAAACTTCATAGCTTGCTCCCATAATGACAAATCTGTTGAATGCAGACTTCAAAAGATGTCTCTGGTGTGGAAAAAGAGTATTTATTTCCCACAAAATTCAAAAGAGTGGGTTTACATGGTATTTTATTGTCTTGGTCCCATTCTAAAGCAATCAAGCAAACAGTTGCCAGGCAGCTGCCAACAAACTAACTTGTTACATAAAATCTTGTTTAACCTTATCTAGTCTATCACTGAAAGGAGGGACAGAGATACTAAATCGAACAGTCCCCTTCTGCCTGTAGTTAGAGAATAGCCCAACAGTCCATCTCAAGCCAGTCACCAAGTTCCACTCTGATCCCTAGGTAAAAGAGGCTTTTAGTCGTTCCCTCAGAACAATTCCACCATAATTGCTGTAAATCTAAGCACCTAAGACAGGTATAATACAAACGGCACAGCTAATGCTAGTAGGCTAGGCAGCTTAAAGATGGATACAGCCCTAAGACATGTGCAGCGGAGTAACCACGCCTGCCCATCCTCCTCCTCCCAATGCCTGCACTGCACAGCCATCAGGAGCTATGCTGACAACCTGGAGACGCAGGGGGCTGCTCCCTTTCTCTCGTATGCCTCTCCCTCTGTAGCTTCTGAGACTGCCATTATGCAGGTCAGTATAGCTAGTGCGAGAGGTGATTGAGATATATATTCTAATTGCTAAAAATGAGATTCAGCCTTCATCAAAACAGAGAATGCTGCACTGAGCAAATGCCAGTGAAGTGGTCCTTAGTCTTTTCCAGTAGATCTATTCCCTAAAGTGCCAGTGCATTTCAAACACACTAAACAACCTTCCAGTAGTGACAGTCTGACTATAACCAGGACTCCAGTTTATACCAGTGAAAGATTTCATGATCATATTCCTACGCTACCTCACCCAACTCCTCCAGACCACCAGTAATGCTCATTTTCTGACACTGCATATTTTTACTGGAATCACTAATAACAAGACTTTAATAAATACATCAACATTTAGGAGCATCACCCGTTTAACAATTAAGTTTCCCTTCTTTCCCTCAATGGTTTTGTGAAAAGGCACCAGACCAAAGAAAGACGAGCCCTAGTTTTTTCCCCTTTGTGCAGATGTGTGACTGCCACGGAGCCGACCCACAAGTCCGAGTCCAGCCCCACGGGTGCTGTGCCATCCCTCTCCCGTTTCCGTGGTAACTACAGAGCCACCAAGGAGGAACTGCATGCTATGGAGAGAAACAAAGATTGCTGCAGCCCTTTCACTCCCCCACCTCTCCATCACTTCTGAATTATTAAAAGTGGCACAGCGATACCATGGCTGGAAAGCAGCAGCACAATAACAGCTATTCGGATGTTCGCTGTTCATCTATTATTTGATTGCCAGAACATGCGGGATCAAGCATGCCAGATGGACACAGGAGAGGTGCCACTGCCGTGAAGAGCTTACCATAGCATAAGTAGTAACTAATACGGTAAAAGCATGATGCGGTGAATGAGGTGGGGCTCAAATGTTAGAAGGTCACAGAGCTCAGCAGCTACGCTGCCATATGAACATACAAAGCACGAATCCTCAGAACTGCTCTTGCTCATACAGCTTGGGGTACCTGCTCCTCCTCTGCCCTCCCCTACGGTCCCCACTTGAAAATGCGCTTACTCCTTCTCATTTTAGAGAAAATGCTATTCCTTGGGTTTAAATGCATCTGTAATCCTTTATATTCCTTGACAACAGCTTCCTCATTTTTACCTTCCATATATCAACCACATCCTTAGCAAAATGCTTGTTACTAACATTAAATAATTATGGGCCAATATGCCTGGAGAGGAGGTTAAAACATCCAACCGCTTCCAGGCAGGCCGCCCACCCACCCGCCCTCCCTCCCTTGCTGTCCCAATGAGACGGCGTGCTTCTGCTAGAAACCCCAGTTGTGACTGCCAGACAATTTCTGCTCAAACAAGATACTTTTCTTTAGTGTACTGTGGACTTCTTAAACCATCTTTGCTAAGCAAAGAGCACAGTTTACAGGGCTCCTAATGAGGTGTTGGTGACGTAAATCTCAAAAGCTCCGCCAATGTGGCAAGGACACTGATAAGTTTTATGTTTTAGTAATGAGCACAGTACATGGAGCTATGTTATTTGGGCACGCTAAAACATTCATTGCTGCTGGTTAGGTAACAGTCGCATGCCAGAGAATGACATATGTAAAATAAGGGCAGCTCAGTTAAGCCATTCCCTGCAACTCTTATTGGGCCGCAGACAAGGACAGGAGGAAATTATGTTTTTCTTGGAAAGTTTCTAAGTTCTATTCAATTAATAAACTTGAATGGAAAAAGGTCTAGGTCCACCTAAGAGGAGGAACAGGCTGCAGCTGTCTAGTGTGTAGCTGGTACCTTGCTACCCAATCCAAGTGGAAGCTTTAAAGGTCTAAAGAGAATGCAGTGATTTAGTCATGGCAGACTAATTCCCTGTACCAATGTTAAGGATAACCACCAAGTTGACTTCGGCCACCTTGCCTTTAACATGTCTGCTGCTCCTTGC